AGCTTGGAATTACACAACGTGTGTCTTGTTGAGATTGGTCTTGCTTTGCTTGCCCATGCCTTCATTCCTTTCCGTTTGCTGAGTGATGCATTTTCCACCGCACGCTTTCTCAATAACGGACTCCCTACACGACTCTGTTAGATGAAAACACCATTTGAGCTCTTGCTGAATGAAGTTCTTGATTATACGTTTCTCAAGGTCTTTGGGTGTGCGTGCTAGCCACATCTTCGTCCATATAACCAACGCAAGTTGGAGTTTCGGTCTAAACAGTGCGTGTTTCTTGGTTATAGTTCCCTTTATAAAGGATACAAGTGTCTTCATGTTCCCTCTAATTGTGTCTATATCTCACGTGATGTACTCTTTGATGAGAATGTTTTTCCTTTTTCACCACTTCCGGTCACCTCCATCACTCCCCCGCTGCACCTGAGAAATCTGTTTTACCTTTGCTTGGTCAATTTGTTGATGCTGCATATACCCCCTTGTTGCTACCTAACGATGGTGTAGGTACTCGGCGCAGAGCACGCCTCAAGCTTCTAGATGAGCAGCTGCCTGCGTCCCCTCGGATATCTGTCGAGCCCGCTCGCGACGCCCCTCCATCACCTGGCTTGCCGACATGGCTACCGAGCCAGGTCCTGCCACCTCAGTCTAGCATGGGGGCTGGCCATGCGTTGGCCGAGCCGGCCGAGCCAGTCGAGCTGGCCGAGTCAGCTTCGCCTGAGCCAGCCTCTGCCACGGGGGCCGAGCCGGCGTCCACGCCTTCCTCGTCAGGTCGGTCGCCTGGCGCGACTGGCTCTGAGTCTGGGGAGCGGTCTGCGTCGTTATTGCCATCTTCATCGACCCCGTCTTCGCCGCCACCTCCGCCGCCTACCGATATTCTGCGTCCTTGTATGCGCAGTCAGAGTGGTATTGTTTGGCCGAAGGAGCGCACTGATGGCACTGTTGCGTGGGTTGCGGCATTTATGGCACAGACAGATGCTGACCCCACTGCCGAACCTCGGCATTTTCAGGGGGTCCTTAGGTCCTCATTGGTGCGGTGCCATGGAGCAGGAGTTTCAGGCATTACAAAGGAACGATACTTGGCGCTTGGTTCCGCCTATGTTTGGTGTCAACATCATTGACTCCAAGTGGGTGTTTAAGGTAAAGAAGCATGCTGATGGTTCTATTGAGCGATACAAAACACGATTGGTGGCCAAAGGGTTTAAACAACGGTAGGGTTTAAACAACGGTATGGTCTTGGTGGCCAAGTGGGTGTTTCAGTCATGTTGTCCAACCTACCACTATTCGTCTGCTTCTGTGCTTGGCTGTTGCCAAAGGGTGGTCTCTGCATCAGCTTGATGTTCAGAATGCTTTTCTCCATGGGGTCTTGGAGGAAGCAACCTCCAGGTTTTGATGCGGCAACCTCCAGGTTTTGATGATCCTGCTCGACACCCAATACGGGTGTGGCTATCTAGTATATATAAGGATACATGAAATGTACAAATACAATATACAGGATATACAAAAAAGCTATGTATAAACATTATGTAATGGGCACGGCAAAAGCTCCGAGGAAAAGAAGGAAGGGACATGCTAGGGAAGAAGGCGGGAGCTGGATCCAGACGCGCTGGAAGCGGATGCCCAAGAGTGTATCTGCGCAGGGGAGGAACCCGCGAGCTGCAAGGCGAACAGCTTCAGCGCCGCCAGTGAGTAGTCCATGGCGGTCCAGGCGCCGACGCCACAGGGTTGTCCCTCCATTTTTCACTGGCTCGCGGTTGCGATTCCTGTCTTGCTGCTGGCAGTTGTGGGCAATCCCTATTTGGCGCTGCAGGCGCAACTACCTGTTTATTTCCCCAGTAACCACTACACCACCAGTACACAACCTACGCCAATCCTCTTTACCAGCCTTCTTTCCTTCTTCTCATACATACAGGAAAGGCCACTATGTTCTCCATGTTGTTTCCCTTTTTTTTTCCTGTTTTCTTTTTTCTTAAATGCGTGAAATGTTTCCAAATAGAGGATATTTTTTTCTAATTCATGAACTTTTTCTTTAAATCGATGAATTTTTTCAGTTTGATGAATTTTTTTAAATTTCAATGAACTTTTTTCAAGTTTGATGATATTTTTTTCAATTTCAATGAACATTTTTCCAAACTTGATTAACTATTTTTTCAAAATGAATGAACTTTTTACCATTTTGATGAACTTATTTTAAAAATCGATGTACTTTTCTAAAATCCAATGAACTTTTTTCAATTTGAGGAAGCACTTTTTCGATTTGATGAACTCTTTTTTCAAATCCAATGAACTATTTTCAATTCGATGAACTTTTTTTTATCTGATGAACTTTTTTCAAATCCGATGAACTTTTTCAAAATTGATAACTTTTTCCGATATGTGAATTTTTTTTTCAAAATCGATGAACTTTTTTAATAATATATGAACTTTTTTTTCACAAACGTGTTCAAAATTGTAAAAAAATCTGAGGCCGGTCTTTTTCCTGCACCAGCAGCACAACACAGCCTGAAAAAGAAAACCAGCGAGGCGAGTGTTATTTTCTTCAGCGAGCGAGCGAAAAGAACGGAGCCAGGGAGTGATCTTCTTAATGGGCTGGCGCCAGTTTTCCAACGGGCGCCTACAACGCCCAATAGGAGCTCCCGGCAGTTGTGGCCTTGTGCGTGCAAATGGTTGGATGGGCTGGACATAATTGATGCGGGCTTTTAAGCTGGGCTCAGACAGTGAAAGGCCCCCATATTTGTGGTACATGCTTTCATGAGCTAAAAAAACACTTCTTTCGAGATTGTAGCATGAGTGACAATTAATATAGATTGGAGGGAGTAACTAGTATTATAAAGATTTACCGGAAGTATAAAACGCCTTAAACATAAATTACATCGAGGTCCATGGACCACCGAACAACCATTGCCGCCTCCACATACTGTAACTTTTAGGAGATGAATAAGTCGAAAACTGCCACAGGAACATGATGATTTAAACTTGAAAATTAATCCCAACTCAAAAACCTAAATTGTTTGTAAAGGTAATGTACAATATAAAGATGATACTAATTACAGCTGACCGACCTAAACCTTGCTTTTTCTAAAACAAGAGAAAAACCAGTGCTGCTTCCATAGAAAAAAATTAATAGCACTGAACCTTGGGTTTCTTACAATAAAACTGAACCTTGCTGCCACTACGGGCTACAATGGAGAAAAACAAAATTCATAGTCAACTTCAGGGCAAAAAAGTGTGAATTTTTATATTGTGCCAGTTTTGTTTTTTATTCACCCAAAATACAAAGAAAGTCATTTCTTCGCCAAACTTTTAACACCAGTCTAACACTACATCATTTGTTTACAAAAACGGAGATGGCAGGCGATTTGATTCCAGTCAAAGAGGGTACAGTTTTTTCGCCAAAAAGTAAGAGAAAACTGTCATTCGAACATAGCGATAAAAACCACATCTGCATCCATGTCTCAGGTTTACATATCGATTCGGGTGACAGAAATAGTTTTTACCTAGAAAACAAAAACTTTAGACCAAATCTGCGATTTACCAAACTTGGCAATCGGACA